ACTCTAACTCTTTATAAGAGAAGAAATCCTGCCTTTCTCCTGTAGAGCGGCTGGTGGTTTCAAACTGCTGCCCTTGCAGTTAGCAGTCCAACACACAACCATTATGCCACCACCAGAGCTCCTTGTGTGATTAACCAAAAATTAGTCATTAAGTACACACCCAAAGGCCTTGGGAGAAAGGGCTTGGTGACCTGCTTCCAAAAATCACTGTCTTGAAAACCCTAAGAGGGTAGAATTCTATACAAGATTTCAATGAGTCAAAATTGATAGGAAGACAATTAACTGCTTTGGTTTGACTTGGTTTGATTGGGTTGGATTTATTCTATTCCATTCTAAGCTTGGAATTCACACTCACACATACTTTTTGGTAAGCATAGACTTGATTGTCTCTGAGTCTTATTCAAAGCTGTGACCTTTTCCAATGTCAGGCAAACCGATCTGGCCAGGCTAGGGGAGGAAATGAGATCCCGGAAGGTCTAGTGCAGATCAGGGGATGGGATGCCTGGAGGAAAGTTGCAGGCAAGGATCCCGGAAAGCCAACAAGGTCTTACCTTTCCAATGCTCTGGGCTACAGCTTTTGGCTCTGCAGATGTATATGAGCCCCATGGACATGATATGGGCCTTGGTGTAGATTCTGGCTCTGATATTGGCAGGCCAGTGCCGGTAGAAGCGGCTCCCAGAGAGATGCAGCCATTTCTTGGAGAAGACCATTACCAGCAGCAGGATGAAGGCAATCAGGCTGAGCACTGAGGTCAGCACCTGCAATGTCCAACTTGAGCTACATGCCCATCGCCTGGACATCACATGGTCTTGGTGGTGGGACATGGGCAATGGGTTTTTAGGGCTGGAGGAGGAGGCCTGCCCCTCCCCATTTGTCTCAGCTTGGCTTCCACACTGTCTTGCTTCCCCACTGCCTATTTCCTTCCCAGGTCTCTGCTGCTCACCGCTTTCTCCTCCTGACTCCTGGACTTTATCCCCAAGGTCCCTGTTCCCCTCTGCACACGTCCTTTCCCTTTCCATTATCCACCACATCTCCCCGCTCCCTGGCCAGGCTCAGTTGTCCCTCATCTTTAAATATCTTCATCAGGCAGAGCCGTTGCCATCACAGAGCCTGAGGTCTGGAAAGGAATCGGGTGGTGGGGCTCTTCCTAGGCCATCAAACACCTGATCCAGGGCAAGGCCCCCAACCCACTCAGCAGGACAGAGCCCCTAACTGCCATGGAACATTCCTAGAGGCTGTGAGATGGGGGAGGGGGCCATGGCCCTTCATCTTCAACTCCAACTCTTCAGGTGCTCTGCTCCTTCAGGTATCTGATGCCGCCCATCAGCTCTGGCCTCCCTGTGCCCACCTAAGAACAAGGTCTCTCAGAGTCCCCCACTCTCTCTTCATTTCGTCCTTTGCCCTAAG